TAAAGAAAGTTGTATTAGCCTCAAAAAATGAACACGTGGATATAAAGATCGTTAAAATCTGATATCGTATGAAGAAATTATGACGTTCAGAACACAAGACTTAAGTCAAACCATAAGACCTATGCAACCAAACAATCGAGATTGCGATAGACATAAGCATCAACAACAGCAAACACCTAATCAATGATTGTCCCACGTAAGATATAGAAAAGAACTTTAAAAAGTCATTTGTAAGTACTTAATGAGTAAAAAAACAAAAATGATTTATTTTGAAACAAAAAAAATATTAAGGACTAAATGTGTACAAAAATATTAATGATTAAATATATACAAAATAAGAAATATATAACCATATTAAGTCATTTTTCCTTGATAACTTAGAGTAACCGATCATAAAACTGAATGTGTACAATTTAACAAGTTGAAGAGGTAAATGTGGACGAAAAAAAACTCAGTGACCAAATATATATACAAATCAAAAAATATATTACCCTTTTATGTCATATCCTATTTAAAAAACATATATTTGTTAAAACTTCAAAATACGGGTATTCGTCTAATTGTTTCATAAAATGAAATGACCTACAAGTTTTGTAACTATTCTGCAGACTTGATTGACTGTTTGTATGTATTTGTGGGAACTGATACACTATCATAAAGGAGTTCTGAAAGTGATTATTGCTATTCTAAAGAATCATACTCAGATAATTCGGTCTATACCACTAGTGGCAGTTTGGATAAATTTTGAAATTTATTACTGCTATTTCATTTTATTGCTGATTTTGGTCCTTGGAGGATTTGTAGTGCCCAAGGATAAGCTTCACTTTTCAGTTTTTTTTCATATTATGAACAAAATTTTCAATTTTATTTTATATTTGTTATAATTTCAGATTATACAGAGCCATGGATGTTAAGGGGATTTTATGCTTCTCCTATGATGTATGCACATAATGATTTGCTTATAAATGAGTTTCTTACGAGAGATGGAATGCTGTAAGTGTATTTTTTATATTCGAGTAAATTGGAAACTACTTTAACAAAAAATATATTCATGATTACAGTTATTTTTGTTTGAATCTAGGCTTGCGTAGATAGACCCAAGAATTAATGCATCAACCATTGCAAAAGCTCTTTTTAAATCAAGAAGTTTTTCACCAAAGATTATTGGTTCTATATTTCTGTAATCTGTTGGAGTTCTCATTGGGTTCTCAATTCTCTTTAATTTATTATGTGACACTAACGTTCTAAAACCATATGTATCACCTAACTCTTAAAGTTCTTTTTTTTAGTAAGTGGAGTTTAGTCTCTAAAATTCATGATTATTTTTTCCAAAAATGATTTTAGCTCTTGGTAATGATAATCCAAGCAGTAAAATCTATGAAGTTTAGGCATGTACAAACTTTATGGGTTTTTATAAATAAATTAGAATATATTATTTTTAATTTTTATTTTTGTGGCATGTCAAATGACTTAGATGTTGTTTGTTTTTTGGAAAAAACCTCTTCAAACCTCTTACTGCTGCGTGGCGCAGCACACGCGCAACACTTTTCATCTCGCAGCTGTTTGTTTTTTAGAAGTCTTCTGAGTCAAAAACCTCTGTGCAGGCTCTGTTTGGCGCAACACTTGTACTGTCTCTTCTAACTTCTTCTAACCTCTTCTTCTTCTTTTTTTATTGCTGAAATTTTGATTATATGTTATTAAAATTTTATTTCACATTTTATTTCCGTTTTTTTTTCGTTTATTCTTATTGAATTTATTTTTCATTTTTTTATATTCAATAATGATAATTTCTTGATGAAATATCATTATTTTTTACTAAAATATTTTTATTTTTTGTTGAAATATCATTCTTTTTTACTGAAATATCATTAATTTTTACCGAAATGTTATACATTATTAAATTTTACGTATTAAAAAGCTATTTTCTGTTTATAAAATTAGTTTATTTTAATTTTTTAATATCTGCAGCAGTATGCAGACGTTAAAAAAACAAACACGCTTCTTATTATAGTCTGCAACCGTTTTGTCCACCTCTTCTACTGCAGAGGGTTGCAGAGGTGGTCCGCAGACTTCATGAATTTTTGCTTCAGAAAATCAAACAGCACCTTAGGTGTTGAGATGACATTAACAACTATTTCAAGGAAAAGTGGTTATTACTTGGCAGTGTGAGTTTGATTGTTTGATTTAGTTTCTAAGAAAAATAAGTTGAAGCTATGCTTAATCGTTTTACTATCCCAGGTGTATCAAACAATGTTAGTTGAGACTTTATCAAAAATGGTCCATTTCTTTGACTTTCTGTTGTGGCAAGGCTCTTTGTTGATGCTGTGAAGCATAATTTCATTACTATGAAAGTTGAACATATGAAGGGTGCAATCATTTTTGGTGACTTGGTAATTCATTATTCGTTTTCTTGTGCATAATTTTTTTGATTATGTTATTTTTATACTAACATTGTGTTGTTTTATGAAGGGTTTTGAACATGACATTCTAGAAGACCACTCGAGTGTTTTGGCTATTAATCTGAATAAATCAAGGTCCCTGATATACCATTCTTAATCTAAAGCATCAAAATTGAGTGATATGTTACCAAGCCTGGCAAATATTGTAGATAAAGAGCACAAAGAGCTTCTTTCTCAAAAATCTATCATTGAAAAACACAAGGGAGAACAGGAACGACACCTTCTTGAAATGGTATTCATCTGTCCATTTCCTAAATTACATTTTTAGCCCCTGTTTCTAAACTCTAAAAAATTGCATTATTTTTTTTAAAATTTTGTTTTCAAAAGAACAAGAAGAGGAGACAAAAGAAATAAAACTACAGAAAAAAAAATCAAAGCGGACCATACCTCCTTAGGGAGATTGAGGAACGTGAGCGTGAAGAAGCTCAAATTTTACTAAATGATGTTGGAAAACGTATCAAAAAGAAAGAAAACAAGCCTATCATTGAAGGGGTAAGTTCGGAAATTTCTATCCTCCATTCGTGTGTTATTTTTATGCTGACTATTGCCTTTTTTTGTTGTGAGGAGAAGATGAAAGAGAGGCAATAAATGGAAAAAGACAATGCAAAAACTAATTAAGATGTATCACTTTGAAAAGGTTAAAAAGGGAAGAGGTTGCACCTCTCATTGAAGTTGCTTTCCAAAAATGTTTAGTTGAAGAGAAGCTAAAAAAAAAACCCTCTGAAGGACAAAAGTACGGATGGGGTGTTGCCGTGTTGGGTATTTATAGTTTCATATTTATATAAGTTGTAAATAAAGAAGTAAGGTAAAAGATATTAAAAAGGTTAAAAGAGTAACTTAGATGAGTTGGAGACCAACCATATAACAAATTGAATGCATTGTAACAATTCATATAAAAAAGTTAAAAATTGAGCATACAACTTTTTATAAACCACAACAATGTGAGTTTCTTTATTAATTTTATAAACCAAAACAATCATTTCTGTAAGTTATATATATATATATATATATATATATATATATATATATATATATATATATATATATATATATATATATATATATTGTTATGACAATGCAGTTATGTTTCTCACTCAACATAATAGCATTATATAATATAAATATATAATTACAAAAATAGGGATTTTTATGAAAATATGGAAGCTTGAGGAATTAAAGTCTAGTGTTGTAGTTGAAAGGACAAATTATGTAATCAATTTAAATAAATATGTGTTTTTTTAGTAAAATAAAAATGGAAAGTGGGTTTTACTTTCCAAACTTTATTTTGAGGGCGGGAAGGATGATCAAGGTGGCATTGACATGTCCAATGAAGTAACCAAAGGTTATCCAAAAAGGAAGTGAAAAAACACCTCTGTTTCACCGTATTGGGACGACGATATTTGTGTATTGTTATTCTTATAGCAATATGTAATCTAACCCATATAAGTATTTTGTAAATGTCATATTATAAATTATTATTATCGATATACAAATATAAATATGTGTATTATTATACATAAGTTTATATAGAGAGAAGAATCGATTACATTACTTATAATAATAATGAAAGTGATACGCGTTAATATATTTCACGATCTATTCAATAAGCAAAAACAAAAATGAACTCAACATTCGTCAACTGGATGATGGTTCATCTTTTGGACAATGTCACTCTCAATTATTTATTAGACCGATTTGTCCTCATTTGGGAATATGACATAAAACGGCACTAAGACAATATGAACCAATCATGCCAAGGACAAAAATGCCATCTTCCATTCATCTTGTAGAAAATATCAACTTATTTATTTTGGAAAATCTCCAATAAAGTCCTAAAATTTTAGTTCGGTTTGCGTTTTAACCCTAAACTAATTTTTGTTTACGAAAAAGTTCAAAAAACCGGTAAAAGCTTGCATTGTAACCCATTCTTGCCGGTTGAAACAGGTAACAAGTTAATTTGAGACTATTTCATAAACTGATCCAAAATATTGGGGCTTCTCCGCGAAAAAACAAAATATTACGATTTTCTTACAAACAAAAACTTTATTATTATTATTAGAAAAAACATTATAAATGGTCCCTGTGGTTACCCAAAATCTGAAGTTTAGTTCCCGTGGTTTAAAAACCTCATAGATGGTCCTTGTGTTTTCAAAACTTTTGATGTTTGGTCCCTTTTGCTAACTCCGTTAAATTTGTCCGTTAACTGAATGGTATTTTCGTCATTTCACAACCTCAGGGACCATTTATGATGTTTTCTCGTATTTTTTTAAAAAAGAGAAAATTAAATATAATTAAATATATAAAAGTTCTCTCTATCTCTCTCGTTGACATCGATTCCTCCCCTCTTCTTCCTTGGTACCACGGTAACCCTCGTCCCCCTTTGATAAGATTCTTGAACCAGGTTTCATTCTTCCAAGATGAATAAGAGCGTTCCTACACCAGTGGACCTCAGTTACTCACCTACCTCGATCATGGAAGCCATCGGTGTCCTCATGACCTACCCCATGTCTTCTTACCACGAACAAGAACTCGATAAACGCTTCAATCTCTTCCATTTGTGGAATCTCCCCTAGAAAACGACTTCTTCAAGCAGAATTCTGGTTCAATCCGAGCCGTTATCGGAAACGCCAACGTCGGTGCAGACCGAGAATTGATCGACTCGTTACCGGCTTTAGAGATTGTATCTAATTTTAGTGTGGGGTTAGACAAGGTGGATTGGGGGCATTGTAAGCAGAAAGGGATTAGGGTTATTAATACTCCTGATGTGCTGACCGAGGATGTAGCTAATTTGGCGATTGGATTGATGTTGGCGATGCTAAGAGAAATTTGTGAGTGCGATCGATATGTTAGGGCTGGATTGTGGAAGAAAGGTGACTTATCGAACCCAAACATATCTTGCAACCTGAGGAACCTCTTCGCAACATCAAGAGACAATCTCATCCTTCAGTCCCTAGGGCCTTGAGCTGTGTTTATCTTGCGGTGATGGTCTTTCTTGGAAGCTTTCTTTCCCATTGAAGAGTTATTCTGAAGAATTACATGAGTGTTAAGGTGATCGTTGCCAATAGTTGTAGCATATTTTCCGTTATTGTTGGTTGGTTTTTCCATGGTGTACTGTAGATTACTAGTCTTCCGAGTTGAGTGTTCATGAGCTACAATGATAGTCTCGTGGTAGTTATCATCAGTAGAGAAGGATCGCTGCTGTTATTGGAAAATCTAAGGTTCGTCTTCTAAAGGGATGTAATGAGGGCAATTCAAGTTCTGTGAGGAAGAGGATGCAGGGTGGTAATAATCTTGAGAGGGTGATTTTAAATGATTTTGAAGATTAAAGTTGCTGAAAGAAGTCTTTGGGTAGTTACTACTTGAGAAAGAGGTGTCGTGGTTGATGTAGGAGGAAGGATACATCTCCTTATAAGTCTACTTTCCATAGAGATAACTACATATATATTAGATATGTTGACTGTACGTATGATAGATCTAAAATGGACCTTTGACACCTTAATTTAGTTGTAAGAGAGAGAGAGAGAGAGAGAGAGAGAGAGAGAGAGAGAGAGAGAGAGAGAGAGAGAGAGAGAGAGAGAGAGAGAGAGAGAGAGAGAGAGAGAGAGAGAGAGAGAGAGAGAGAGAGAGAGAGAGCTTTTATATATTTAATTATGTTTAATTTTTTTTAAATAAGAGAAAACATCATAAATAGTCCCTGTGGTTGTGAAATGACAAAAATACCCTTCAGTTAACGGACAAACTTAACCCCAATTAGCAAAAAGGACCAAACATCAAAAGTTTTGAAAACACAGGGACCATCTATGAGGTTTTTAAACCATAAGGACTAAACTTCAGATTTTGGGTAACCACAGGGACCATTTATGATGTTTTTTCTTATTATTATTATTATTATTATTATTATTATTATTATTATTATTATTATTATTAGGGTTTTTCTGCAAACAAAAACCTTATTATTAGTATTATCATTATTATTATTATTATTATTATTATTATTATTATTATTATTATAATTATTATTATTATTTTATTAAAAATATAAATAAGTATACTATTTTTCCAATTTGTTATTATTAATATTGTTAATAATATATATACATATATATATATATATATACATATATATATATATATATATATATATATATATATATATACATTTAAATGAAAAAATATTAAAGACATTGTTTAAGGGTGAAGGTGGAGCGGATGATAATTCTTTAAAAGAAGTTAGCGATTTTTCAAATTGTTAATAAATAATGAGCAGTGCTATGTGTATATGTCTTATGTGTAAGTATTTGAATTACCAACATATGTTTTGCACTTTTTCATTATTTTATTCATGTGGTTTTATTGGGAAAATAGCAAATATAATGTGATAAAGCAAAACAAGTCATATTAATTTATACTAAATAAGATATTGTAATTAATACTTTTAAAATTTGATATTGGCAATCAATGTAAATATTTATAGTGGATTTGTTGGATTTGAAAAGAAATCTTTCTATCTTAAAAAAATTTATATACAAAGTGAGAAATTCTTTTATATTAAACTATTTATAAATAATTTTACAAATAGATAACTTTTTTTAAATTGTTAAGTGTTAATATTCTGAATGAAAACAATAATAAGAAATGTCAAATGATCATATACAAAATGAGAACATACAAGTATATATTCACGATTTCAATGCTTAAAACATTACCATCACCACCACTTTCACCTTTAAAAAATTTCTTTAATATTTTTTAAGTGTATTTATATGTATTATTAAAAAAATTAATAATAACAAATTTAAAAATTATTACACTTGTTTATATTTTTAATATAATAATAATAATAATAATAATAATAATAATAATAACAACAACAACAACAACAACAACAATAATAATAATAATAATAATAATAATAATAATAATAATAACAATAATAATAATAATAATAATAATAATAATAATAATAACAACAATAACAATAATAATAATAATAATAATAATAATAATAATAATAATAATAATAATAATAATAATAATAATAATAATAATAAAGTTTATGTTTACAGGAAAGTCCTAATATTTTTTTTGCGGAAAAGTCCCAATATTTTAGTTCAGTTTATAAAATAGTCCCAAATTAATTTGCAACCGGTCAAAAAGGGTAAAAATACAAGTTTTTATAGGGTTTTAGGATTTTTTCGTAAACACAAATTAGTTTAGGACTAAAACGTAAACCGGGTCAAAATTTTAGGACTTTATTGGAGATTTCCCTATTTATTTTTAAATGATTTTAAATGAGAATTATGGTTATAAAATTAATTAAAATTTCATATTAAAAAATCAAAATTATTAATCAATTGATTTAAATAAATTATTATTTAGGATATTTTTATAATTATATAAAATTATAATCATTGATTTAAATAAATACGTGAAGTTATATCACCTAATAATTTATATTAATTTTATTTTATTTTTTAATCTAATGTTATTAATTTAATATAATTAGAATGAGAAAATTTAAATTTTGAAATTTAAAATGAAGAATCAATTATTAATTTAATGTAACTATAATGAGAAATTTTAAATGGATAATTAATAGGTAGATAATTGGCATGATAGGTGAGATATAATATTAATAAAATGTTCTAACAAGATTAATAATTATTATAAAACCCAAAATGAGTTTTAGCCCTTATATGTTATTAGAAAAATATAAGTTATAAAACAATTAAACGATTTCTATTTTGTGAGAGACTAGTGCCTTTGTGTTTTTTCATTAGCATAACATATAATTAAATGTGCAAATTGTAATGACTAAATCTTATTTCACTTTTATTTACCTTAAAGTTAAATCATAAACAACTCGTTTAAAAAGATCATGAATGATTAAACGATTTATAATCAAATAATAGCCTCAAATGATATATCAACAATTCAAATTTACCATTTTTATGGGATATTACAAAATCATTTTTAATAACCTTAATAACTACATAACTACCATATATATATATATATATATATATATATATATATATATATATATATATATATATATATATATATTAATATTATATTATATATATATATATATATATGACCATTTCCATGTAAGCGATTGTGAACATCCAACACAACAAGAAGACCTATAAAATTAAAGATTGACATTTACATCTCCCTGGAAAGCACACTCAATGAATCTTTTTAAAAACCTAATTATACAACTTGAAGTGGAATGACATGCACCATCTTGCAAACTCCATTGTAATTTTGTAACATCCGGATTTTTACCAGGTATCTTGTAAATTTAATTTTGTGGTATTGTGAGGGGGACTCGGCGAGTTGGAGCTCAGACTCGCCGAGTAGGGACGCGGATTTGGGCAATGGAGCGCGCCTGGACTCGGCGAGTCCAGGATATGGACTCGGCGAGTCTGCGCTGTGTAATGAAACCCTAAATTTCCGGGTTTGAGGCCTATTTAAAGGGCCTTATGGCCGTCATTTGTGCTCACCCAACCCTCAGTGAGAGAACCTTGTGTTCTTGAGCGATTTGTGAAGAGAAAGGAGCATTTCTTGACCTTGTGTGTGTTATTTAGCAAGAAGAAGGAGACTCTAGGCAAGAGGAAGCAAAGGAGGTTGCTATTTCGTGGATTTGGAGCTTAGATCATCACTCTAGAGGTATGATCTCGGACTATTTTCTGTTTGGTGAAGCATTATGCAATTTAGGGCTTATGATGGTCATTTATGGGATGATTTGGTGCCCATTGGTTCCCTCCTTGAGTTGAGGTTATGGATCTGGACCCATAGAGGTCCAGAGAGCCTCACTCATCAAGCTTTATGTATGACAATGGAGTCCATGACCTTGTGTTGTAGTAAATGAGTCAAAAACATCATATATGGTCATATAGAGGTTGTATGTGCATCAAGATTGTAACTTTACGTGCTAAATGAGCTTGGAGGGACTGGATCTATGGATTAATGGACTGGATCTGACCTTTAGAGCAAGATTGAGTCAGTGCATGGCACGGACTCGCCGAGTCCGAAGAACAGACTCGGCGAGTAGCATGAATGTTGCCCGACCACACAGTGAGTGGCCTCGCCGAGTTGGGGAGGGTGGACTCAGTGAGTCAAGGGGGAGTCAGAATGGACCGGTGGATTGAGTCAAACTGGACTCGCCGAGTTGTTTTGAGACTCGGCGAGTTGAGTCGTGGTGGCCCCACAACTCATGCCAGGTGGAACTCGTCGAGTTGAGTGAATGCTCGACGTGTCAAGGGAGGATTCCAGGGAAATTGGTGTATACGCCCAGACTCGCCGAGTCGCCTTGGTACTCGCCGAGTCCGGTCAGAGTTGACCGTTGACCAGAGTTGACCAGTGTTGACTCCTTATTGATAGTCAACCTTAGAGATATAAAGTGTTAATTAGAAGCATATAATGTTATAGGAGGATTAGAGCTCGGAGGATCGAGCACGAGGGATTTCCAGGATTCGTGAGATACCGAGATACGCGAGGTGAGTCTTCTCACTATACTTTACCTTGAGTAGGTAACCAGAGTTATGTGATAGAGTATTTGTATGCTATGTATGTTGTGTGTTGTACTGCATGATTTCTATGTGATTTATGTGGTGCATGTTTATCAGAGCTAGAACCTGAGGGTTCACAGAGTTTGGGTGCACGGACCCACAGAGTTATAGCCTAGAGTGGCTAATATGTGTTATATGTGGTATTTTGGGGAACTCACTAAGCCTTGTGCTTACAGTGTTGATGTTATTTGTTTCAGGTACTAGTGATGACCGCGGGAAGGCGCCGGCTTGATCCGTATACACACACGTTCGGAGCTTGATATTATGATCTTGGGATTTTGTACTGTTTTGTTGGATAATTAAAATGGTTGTTTTATGAATATCGATGGAATTATGTTTTATAAAAATTGAAAAATTTGTTTG